TTTCTACAAAATTGAAACTTACATAACCTAAAATAAATTGATTTAATATAATAATTTCCATTGGAAATATATATTTATATTTATGATATTTCATATTATTTCATTTATAAATAATTTTTCTTTTTAAATTTATAAATTATAGATTATTATTATTATTATCATTGTTGTTATTGTTGTTATTATTATTATTATTATTATTGTTATTATTATTACTATTATTATTATTATGTCAACATTTAATATTTTTATATTTATAATTATTTTCTAAATATATTTAAAATTTAAATTTTATTTAAATAATATTAATTCATTTTTTTTTGTTATTGTTGATTGTACACATATTTTCTACAATTTTCATTTTTCATTTTAATTAAAATCCGTAAGAGTTAGTCACCTAATTTGAATGAATAAGGTGCAATAAAATGACAAGGTAAGTTAATACACACCCCACAACCATCTTTGGCTCTCTGTATTTTGCAATTTGATTTTTTTCTTTTTTTACTTTTCTTTTTTTTTTTTTTTAATATTTTAAGAATCTATCTTGTATTTCATTTTTATGAAATTGTTTCATTGTACGTAAAACATATTTAGATAAAATATCAATTTTTTTTTATGAATATGTTTATTTTATAAAACAAATTGCAAAATATCTGAATATTCCTTCATGTGATAGCATGTATTTAGAGTTCCTTTTAATAAGAATTATATAAGCATAAATATTAAGATTGTTCACATACAATGTTTTCACGAATCAATTTCATTACAATTTTCTTATTTAAATGAACTCTATTCTAGTTATTATTGATACATGTACAATAAATGAACAAAGGGATTTTACTAATTACATATCTACGTTATTAACACTTTTATCAGTATTTTTTGTGTGTATGTAATTGAATCAGTTGTTTTATTGTACTTGACTTGATAATGTATAAGTATTTAATCCCTCTGTTCAATTGAGAACCAGATGTTTACATGTTGTCAGTATCAATATCCCACGCTTACGTGAAGGCACAAAATGCCGCACACGGCCAACAATAGGCCGACCAAAAATCACAAACTAATATTTCGTAAGTTAACGTCACGATATGATAGATGCTTGGTGTATTTAAAAAATATCACCAAGCTATATTATAATTCGTAAAAAGAGAAAAAAAATTCAAATACCGTTTCTTGTCGTCTTCGTGCTTTCCAATGCCTACGCTTTTACATTATTGTCAGGACCACATAATTAATATATCGGCTAGTCTGTAAGTGCTATCATTCTGTTAATTGCGCACACAACTCGCTGATAAACTATGTGGTATTATTGCCACGAGTTCGGTTTCAATCAATAACATTTACGGATACGGCATCTTTATTAGATGTCACTTTAAAATAATCGAGTGTTTTACGATAAAAAGAAAGTTTATTTAAAAAATGAAAGAGAAACCAAAACAACTAGAGTAATGATTGTATCAAGATGTGATGAAGAATTGAAGAATAATCATCGCGTGAGAAACATGAAGAGGATCTCAGGCATGTTGTTTAAGGCGAGTATCAGTTTTTGCATATTTTGGAACTTTTGTTTTTTATCTAAAAATAGTCTATAAGTATAATATATATATCGAATGAAATTTATTATATATTATATATATGTATATATATATATACGCGATATTACCAAAGAATTTCGTGATTTTATTCTTTGGAATTATATAGCGCTCGTTTCAGCATAAACTTTTCTAAGCTGAAAATTCGATGCGCTTTAATTATACGCATATTTTAAATGCGCTGCATTAAATTGCGCGAATTATTTTATTCGGTTAAAAAAAAGCAGTCGAAATATTTTGTAAAATTAATTTACATTTTTTGACGCTTTCGACAAAATCAGGCTGCGTTTACGCGCCAATTAAAAAGTAATTTTCTACAATTCATTTTGTATATTTTCTTCTTTTACGCAGTACATTTGCATCAGTATATAAAAAATTAATATGGATGCATTATAATTGTACTTGCGTAATTTTTATCGATTGCGAATAATGATAAAAAAAAGTGATTATAAACTTTGAAATATTTCTTGTTTCCATTTACAAATTGTTACAGTGCATTTATCATATTTCTGTTTACATGATAACGTAAATGGACTTTCAAGTTAAGAATGTTGAATACAAGAGAAATGTGATGGAAGAAGACAAGAAGAGACTATGTGGATATCGGTTCAAAGGTGAGGATCTAATTATCATTTGATACTACATTAATTTGATCTCTTTAAAAATAATGTATCTTTAGTAAAGATAATGATCTTTTAGTAAGGGTTTGCTTTCTTCTAACTTCTTTGCTGAGTTTTGTAGCTTAACTTTTTTCTTCTGCTGGTTTGCTGTAGAAATCTTTAATTTCTTTCTTCGGTTTATGCCAATTTACTTCATTCTAGAGTCTAGAGATGTGAAAAGGCGAGAGATAGTTTAAGATTTAATCAAAATACGCGTATATTTCATTCTTTTTTAATTAGATTCATTACTAATTCATTTAACATAAATAAAGTAGTAAAAAGCATCACGAGCATAACGTTCTTATTTATAACAGTTTATTTATACACAAAAATAATATATTTAAATTTTCAAAGGACAAGACAACTATATTTATCGTGTAAACTCCAAAGGTAAAGTGAAGATATAAACATTGCTTTCTTTACGATCTTCCGAGACGCGTATCCTTATTTGAGGAATATAATATATTCCTACAACATATAATATATTCTTCATATTAACGAGGAAGATCATGAAGGCGTTAAAATAGAGAAACGATGACGACAAAACTCTCTAAGCTCGATTTGCACTTGCGCTCTCGTCGGCACTCTCTGTACTTCTGTGTCTTTGGAAAGGAAAAACCACAATGCCCAAGCACTTTGCACGGTCACTATACAGAAGTCACGCAGCGTGTACTCTATTTCTCTCGCTTTTCTATCTTTTCACACCGCTGCCTATTGCAAGAGAGAAAGCAAAGATCACAGGAACGAATGAAAAAAAAAAAAAAAAAAAGGCAATGCCTGTCTATCTATTGTACCGGTGGTGTTCGCCGCTGCATTGTCCTTGGGTTTTGTCAATTTCAGGGAAGGAAGCGAGACGTTCGGCGGATTGTCGGGGATGCTACGTCAAATACTTTCGCCATCGCCCGAGACGGGAGATACCTGTTTACCCGTCACTTGTACTTTGCTTCAGAACAACACTATGTTCTCCAATCAATCGTCGATGATGTCCTCAACGTATCAAACCGTCCCATCCCACTTGCCATCCATTTGTTCCGATCAGATTCTCATGGATCACGTGCAGATAGTCACCGAATCCCATCCGTGTTCCACGTGTGGCCTTGAGTTTCGAAGCGCTCTGAAACTGAATTACCACATAAGAACCAGTCATTCGGCCTTGCCGGAGTTCGAGCACAACATAGAGAATAATCCGATGAGATACTCGTGCACCATTTGTTCACGGAGTTTCTTTGCTCTGAGTCATTTGAGGATGCACGAGGTCACGCATTCCGCGCCACCAGCAACCTCCTGCGCACCGATGCCAACGATATCGACATCGGTGAACGTCGATAAGACGTTCGCCTGCGATCGTTGCCAAGCCAGTTTCCGGTATCGTACATTATTCGAGCGGCACAGGAGGATGCACGAGGTTGGCCAGGAGAAGCCTTACTCCTGCCCTAGATGTTTGATGCGCTTCGAGACCCGAAATTTGTACAATCATCATGCGAAAACTCACAAGCCGGGCAACGATAATAGGATAACCGACACCGTAGTAGTGTCTTCCGGTGATCCGGTCACTAGCAGTATTAGCGGTACCATTGCGTCGACCAACAAATCGGTACTCTCGTACCCGTGTGACTCGTGCTCCAAGCAATTCGCGAGCATCGAATCATTGACTACCCATAAGGCTGTACATAGGTCCAGACCGCTCGTGTGCGACGTCTGCGGCAAAGGTTTTACACACCGCAAGTACTACGTGGTGCATCAACGTATTCATACGGGAGAGAGGCCGTATCTTTGTGCCATGTGTGGGAAGTCGTTCACTCAAGCATCCACGCTTACCGTCCATCGCCGATATCACACGGGAGAACGTCCTTATACGTGCACGTTGTGCGGTAAAGGATTCGTTACCAGAACCATCATGCTGAATCATATGAAAAAGCATTGAATCGAATCGTTATCGTTGGTTCGAAAAAAGAAAAAAATACTCATCGATTCGGATTCTTTTTCTTTTTTTTTTTTTTTTTTTTTTTTTTTTTTTTTTTTTTTCGGAAGGTTAATGATTTTTTTTTTTTTTTTTCAAAAATTTTATATTTTTTTTTTTTTTTTTATATAAAATTAATTTTTTTTTTTTTTTTGTTTTTTTTTTGTTTTTTGTACGAAAGTTCATGAATTTTTTTTTTTTTTTTTGTTTTTTTTTTGTTTTTTGTACGAAAGTTCATGAATTTTTTTTTTTTTTTTTGTTTTTTTTTTGTTTTTTGTACGAAAGTTCATGAATTTTTTTTTTTTTTTTTTAGTTTTTTTTTTTTTTTTTTTACGAAAGTTCATGAATTTTTTTTATTTTTATCTTCTTTTTTCCTTTTAACTTATCATTTATTATCTGTTGG